CCCACCCCCTGCCACTTTCCCCCCTTGGTGTCCATACATTTGTTCTCTACATCTGTGTCTCAGTTTCTGCCCTGCAAACCAGTTCATCTGTACCGTTTTTCTAGGTTCCACATATATGCGTTAATATACGATATTTGTTTTTCTCTTTCTGACTTACTTCATTCTGTATGACAGTCTGTAGATCCATCCACGTCTCAACAAATGACCCAATTTCGTTCCTTTTTATGGCTGAGTAATATTCCACTGTATATATGTACCACATCTTCTTTTTTTTTTAGATGTTGGGGGTAGGAGTTTATTAAATTATTTATTTATTTTTGCTGTGTTGGGTCTTCGTTTCTGTGCGAGGGCTTTCCCTAGTTGTGACAAGCAGGGGCCACTCTTCATCGTGGTGCGCGGGCCTCTCACTATTGCGGCCTCTCGTTGCGGAGCACAGGCTCCAGACACACAGGCTCAGTAGTTGTGGCTCATGGGCCTAGTTGCTCCGTGGCATGTGGGATCCTCCCAGACCAGGGCTCGAACCCGTGTCCCCTGCATTAGCAGGTAGACTCTCAACCACTGTGCCACCAGGGAAGCCCCGTACCACATCTTCTTTATCCATTCATCTGTTGATGGGCATTTAGGTTGCTTCCATGACCTGCCTGCCTTTGTTTTTTATTGCTACACAGTATTTTCTGGGCTCATCCTATTTTTGCTCTCCTGGGCCATCCTAACCCTCGAGAGCAAAGTCAAGGACAGGCTGACTGTTCCCGTGACAGTAAGGGCCAGGTGTGCAGTCCAAGAGGAGGCTCCTGCTGCTGCACCAATTGTCAACACGGTAAGATGAGCTTCAGTTAACAGGGAGAAAACGTTTTCACCTACTGACTCTCAGGGGGAATATTTTTAGAATTGGAATTACCTGCTGATTTAAGTAAACAAGTGTCACGTGGGAAATGATGACTATCTTTTCAGCCACAGCTGAGGGCTGCCATGTGGCACCCTCCACTCCTTTGCAGTCACATAAGAGCCTAGAGTTCCTGTGCATTATCTCATTTCATCCTTGAAATAAATTCATCAAGGCAAGTGTTACTACATTTCCAATTTATGAACAGGGAAAGCAATGTGCAGAAAAGGGTTTAAAAAAAAAATAAAGTAATATGGGGCTTCCCTGGTGGCGCAGTGGTTGAGAGTCCGCCTGCCGATGCAGGGTACACGGGTTCGTGCCCTGGTCCAGGAGGATCCCACATGCCTCGGAGCAGCTGGGTCCGTGGGCCATGGCCGCTGGGCCTGCATGTCCGGAGCCTGTGCTCTGCAACGGGAGGGGCCGCGGCAGTGAGAGGCCCGCGTACCACAAAAAAAAAAAAAAAAAAGTAATATGATGGGAAAATGTGTATTGTTTTACATATTTTCATTTCTCTGAATTTTTGTCACTTGCGCTTTTGGTGTCATATCTGAAAAACCATTAGTACTTCACAGTTATGAATATTTACTCTTGTGTTTTCTCTTGACAGTTCTAGTTTTAGCCCTTTCTTATACATCCGTCTATGATCTGAATGTTGGACAGGTCCCTTCAACACAGTGACCACACGTTTCCTCGTTGATTTTTGTTCAACGTTAGACTGAAGAGCCCCTTTTCCTATCCTAATCCTTTTCTGCTCATGTACAAATTAATTTATCCAATAGTTCATATTTTGATTCCTGAGATGTGAGGAGCTGGATGTGTATATAATAGGTAAGATAAGTTATTTATTGGGCAGCTACTATGTGCTTGCTCAGTGCTGGAGAGAAAAAGTACAATAATTGACCACAAGGAGCAAACATACACATCGGAGAATCAGTCACAAGTATTTATTCAGCATCTTGAAGTGCCCAGCATCACACAAGTGACAAGAAGTATCTCTTTGCTTTTATTTGTCGACCAGGGCGGGTGAGTACAGAGGGGGCTCTTAGTCCAGCCTGGGAGGTGGAGGGAGGGGGAAGCTTGTGGGGGGAGGAGGTCCCCTGGTGGGGAGGGAGGGGGTGCAGACCCTCAGAGACCACCTGAGAGCCCAGCAGAAACCCCTGGCCTCCTGGAAGGGGAGGTCAGAGGCCAATTCCGGGTGGTGGGGCCAGCTGAGTCAGCAGCTCCCTCTTGACTGGCTTCCCCAAGCTTGGGTCTTGTTGGAGATTTCAGATACACAAACCCCAAGCTTTCCGGAGGACGTTCTGTAGGACGCAGATGCTTGGATGTTACTGGATGCCTCATGGGAAACAGGTCATGAAGGACAAGTGAGTCCAGCCTGGGCTGCGGGGCTGGGAGGTGCCGCCAGGAGGCCAGAGCCGGGGGCTCTGAGAGGCAACCAGGTTTGACCCTTTGGCAGCGGTTGGGGTGGTGGCCAGAGGGTGAAAGTCGGGGTGTGGGGGGAGTTGAGGGGTTGGGCAGTTGGCATAAACCACCAGAGGCTTTGGTGAGGTGAGGGGAAACATGGAGAGAACCCCCATCTTCAGCCTGACCTCCGGGAGCCGGGCCAGCAGCCTCTCCTAGGGTGTGTCCCCACTAGATGTACCCCATCCCCCAGTACCATCCCTGCAGCTGAGCGCCCCCCCCCCCCACCGCCTTTTCACTGCTGCAGCTCTGAAACCAAGGACCCTGAGGATTGGCATCAGCTAGATCCAATCCACCTATGATCTGCCTTCCCCCACCAAGTTCACTTCAATTTTTTAACAACAGCTGCTTTTTTAAAAAATTTATTAATTTTTTTGGCTGCGTTGGGTCTTCGTTGCTGTGTGCGGGCTTTCTCTAGTTGCAGCATCGCTTTAATTGTTTTTATGAAAATTTGCATATCCTCTGAGTGGCACGGAGCCTAAACGGTAAGACTTTTGCCTGAGTTGTTGCTTCAGGAACTTGGTATCAGCTGTGTCCAGTTCGAGCTGAGCTGGTGAGTGGTTAGGACCACCAATCCTCCAACTGAAACTGAGCACTGGGCTCATGTGCCTGCGGGCAGAAAGTCAACCTCTGACGGCGGGCTTTGCAGCAAACTAAGGATGTTGTTTGCAGGGTGCCGAGCAAGGGAGTGGGGGGCAGGCCTCAGACCCACTGCAACGCGGCCTCTGAGTTAGTGGTTTTTAAAGGGGAAGAATAGAGGGGCTGGGGTTCATCACCTTAATCGTCTGTGACTTGGGGGTCTCTGTCTCTGTAACCTGTACAGGCCATCTTGCCCCGGAAGTTGACTCAGAATGGCACGTGAACATGCTGCTTATTGGGAAGCTGAGGCTCCAGGCACCTGACCTGCATTGCTCCTTATTGATGAGGCAAACGTGACCATGTAGGTGCAGCCGGGAAGGAAGGGAACCAGAATTTAATTGTAAACTAGTCACGGGACTTAGTTTCCACCTATGCCGTCAGGCCAGGCACTGCCCCTCAGAACCTGTGTCCCTCACAGATGGCTGCCTCACCATTTTCTTATTTCCAATCACCTTTCCCCACCTCCTGTGCCTCAGCCTCATCCTGTAAATACCCGTCCTCGGCCCTTGGGTAGGCAGCCTCTTTTCTCTGCTGTGAACCTCGGCGTCTCAGCATCTGGCTCAGTGACACTTCTGCCTCTGCTCCATCCATGCCTTTCTCTACTCTGCAGCTAGAGCCCCGCAAACTAACTCGGGGTCATCATGAAGGTAGGGTCCCCATCGCCCTCATCCGCTCAGCTCCCTGGGTGCAAGCCACTGAGCACCATGGGCCCCAAACCACCCTCCCCAAAACCAGGCACCAGGCCCAACCACTGGCACCCTGGCCCCTCCTTTTTTTTTTTTTTTTTTTGGCTGCATTGGGTCTTCGTTGCTGCGTGCGGGATTTCTGTAGTTGCAGCGAGTGGGGGCTACTCTTCATCGTGGTGTGTGGGCTTCTCATTGCTGATGGCTTCTCTTGTTGCAAAGCACGGGTTCTAGGCGCGCTGGTTTCAGTAGCTGTGGCTTGCGAGCTCTAGAGCACAGGCTCAGTAGTTGGGGCACATGGGCTTAGTTGCTCCACGGCATGTGGGATCTTCCCGGACCAGGGCTCGAACCTGTGTCCCCTGCATTGGCAGGCGGATTCTTAACCAGTGCACCACCAGGGAAGTCTGCTGGCCCCTCCTTGACCTTAGTATTTGCTTCGATCTTTGACTTCTGGACTTTGCACCATGAGGTCCCCCATGTGTCCCAGCACAGCTGAGGGTGGAAAGCAGTAGGTGGCTCTTCTATGGTTAATGGGTGTGTAGGTGAAGTGAGGCTTGGGGGTGAGCAGAACCCTGGAGAGATTGTGGGGGGACAGGTCCTACCCTTGCAGGCAGGCAGATGTCCAGCAGGGGAGGCCAAGAAGAGGCGTCATCAGGGACCGGTGCCATGGATGGCAGACCCCAGACCATCGTCTCACAAAGTTTGTTAACAAAAGCCAGTAATCTATCAATGTGAACTTGTAGAAACTGTCTTACTTCCTATTTCCATAGAATTTGACCAAAGCAGTTGCCTGGCCCAGGGAAAGGGGGACACTTCACACTTGGGCTAGGCCATGTGGGTTGGTGAGTGCATTCCGGTTCCCTGGTCACACGCAACCCTGCAGAAGCCACAGAAATTGCAACACAGGTCCCAGGATCCTAGCTCTTAGTATGAAGACCATGTCTGCCCCACCGAGTCGCAGGCAGTGTTCTTGCATCTCAGACCTGCCAGTGGCTGCCCTGTCCCATCACAGCCACGTCCATGTTTGCATCTGCCCAAGGGAATCCCATGGTGAGGGATGCTGGGTGCCCAGTGGCATCTCCGCAGCCCCTGAGTGTGCAGAGGACCCCATGTAGGAGGCCACCCTGGGGGCGGGGCCAGGCACAAGACTCAGGACCGAGAACAGGTTTATTCAGATCCATGGTCGGTTACAAGTTTGGTTTGGTTACTGGTCACAGGCCCCAAATGCCACTACTACGAGTTTACATCAAAATACAAAGCCCAATACTTACAGTGTGAAAACTTAAAAAAAAAAATACACCAAAGACTAAGGCTTTTAAAAATCTCAGTTGAAAACTTCTCCCTGGTGCGTCATCTGTAGAATGAAACGCGGGTGAGATGCTGTGAGGATTTCTGACAGCGAACTCGCATTTGTCATATACTTTGGATATTTAAATGTTACCAAAAAATCAGTGTCTTTGAGCGCCTGATTTGACTGAAGATACAAATGACGCTTTTGACCATCTTTGGTTGTAGACCACCCACAGGGAACAAGGTGGTGACAGCCCTGACGACCTGCTCTGTGGCCTAGGGGCATCTGTGTCCTCGGAGGGTCTCTCTTCAAAAGCAGGCATATGGCCCAGCCTTGGAGCTACTGGGAAAATACAGTGGCCCTAGCTTTGCCAAACGCGGCAACAAAATCAGGTTTAAAATCATGAAACAGAGAACCATTGTCTAATTTTCTTAGGGCTCTCTTTCAGGGCCTGATTCTTCTCTGGAGCCAGAGACTGGGTTCCCATTTTGGGGTCTCACCGCCCACCTCCAGGGCGGCAAAGGCAGAGGCCGCAGGCCACGCGGGGAGGCCCAACTCCTGAGCTTCACACACTGAGGAAGAGAAACGCGTCGCCCTGCAGGCCCTCTGGCTGAGGAAAGGGGGAGGCCCAGGGCCGGCAGGCTGCCCGCCCCACGTGGCTACCTCTCTGCCTGGCCCTGCCCTCGCTTTTCAGGTTCTCTTCAGATGGTTCCAGGGCTGCAAGAAAACGCCCCCTGGAAGCATGAAGGTGACAGGTGTTGGGTGCAGAGTGGCCTCCCTGGTGCCTGGGGGTGGCGGCCGGCCTGCAGTCAGAGCTGGTGCAGCTTGCCCTGCTCAGTTAGCAGTGTCATGGCCACGGCGTAGAGGACATAGCCCAGCACGAGGAGCAGGGCACAGAGCAGGGGCCCGATGCAGAACAGAGAGGCCACGAAGAAGGCCAGCAGCAGGGCCAGCAGCGTCCGGTAGCTGCCCAGGAAGCGCAGGCTGAGCCGGGGTCCCCGGGCAAGGCTGGCTGCATGCCCCCGCCCCACGGGGCTCAGCAGGCGCCTGTCTGACAGCCCAGGCTCCAGGAGGTGGTAGCGACAGAAGCTGCCGAGGAAGTCAGCCCGCGAACACAGAGCCGCCATCTGACCTGCGAACTAGAGCACAGACAGGCCCCACTCTCACCTGCCGCTCGCGGGCTGGCGGGGCGGAGGGGTGGCCCTCCCTCCCACACTCACCCTGCAGTTGATGGCGGAGGACAGT